TTAATAATTCTAATAAATTAATTATTAATTTATTAGACATTAATACATCTACTAATTGATACTTGTTAATTTATTAATTAATAAATACTTGTGGTAAGTATTTAAAAAAATATTTTTAGGAGAATTATTCAGTTGTGCAGACAGGGTTGATGGTGAGGTTGTTGAACATTCAACAGCTATCAAAACACCCAGTTTTGAAAAGGACTAGGGAGAGTACGTTGTGGATTCCTGGCAGCTGTGAACTGTTGAGAGCAGGTTACCTGTTTGTACTAAATATTTATTCACTTACCAAACACTTTTAAAGTAACCACTGTGTGCCAGTTTCCATTACTGGATGATTTAGAGGCAGGGCAATTATAGCAATAGCTTAACTGTATCAAGTGCTTTATATATGTTGCAACTTTGCATGTGCTAAACAGTTTTTGAATAGATAGAGATTATTATGACTATATATTTCAGCCTGAGAGTCTTAGAGAATTACATGCCTAATGTCATGAAGGTAACAATTGTTAAAACCTGGTCATAGACCTAACATTAATCTTTCTGTCTCTAGAAACACAGCCTATTAAATAGTACTCTCTAAGGACAGGAGCTGCTTCTGATTCTTAAAAAAAAAAAAAAAAAAAAAAAAAAAAATCACAGAATAAATACTTTAAAATATCACACAAGTGTTCCTTCAGGGCAGTTACTGCATATATCTTTGTTTTCTTATGGCTTAGCACCAGGCCTGGACTGAAACAGACACTCAGTAAATGTTTGTTGTAGTTAAATGCACATGTGAGGAAACTAAAATGCTGGCAATAGGATAATGTGTTATCTCTATAGAGTTGGTTGTCCTTTAGCAGAAAATTTCTAGAGAAATGTCCTAACTGGAATGAATTTCTAATGATGGAATGGTGCACACCATTTTAAGTGTGAGTGTGAGAAACTCGGACCGAGAATGGATTTTTTCAACTTTTGATTGAGTGTAGGTAGTAATCAACAAGACCTGTCTTGCAACTACATCTGTTTCTTTAAGTGAACATTTTTTTCCCCCACAAACTGCCATCACTGTCCTTCTAATAAACAAAACTGTGTTACAGTGATTACACAATTTGACTCATCTCCAAAATTTCACCTCATACTTCTTAAGAATGGCATAGATGTGAGTAAAGATATGGATAATCCACGTGATATGGTAGGACATTTAGGGTATTGTGGATCTCTACGAATACATAAAAGATGAGAAAAATTGCATACCAGTAAGGCAGTAATTGAATTCCTTCATGACATTGCAATTATTTGAAAAATATTGTTAATAATATCTGAAATTTGGTAGGTATCAGATATTATCTATATAGATGGTTTTCAAAATTTAATTTAAGGTGGTTTATTAGCTTTTTTCAATGAAATCTTGACTGAAACCACAATGCTTAAAATAATAAGAGTATAAAACATTACTGTCTGTTGTTTTCTGACAAATATCTCATTGTGTTAATAATCCATGGGTTACCGCTATTCAATTGGTCCACCTATTCAATCATGGCTTTAGTCTTCTCTCAACATTACCTTTTGTCTGTGTTTGAGTAATGCCAGGGATGAGAAATTTACTTCCTACAGGGCAGACCATTTCATTTTAAGACTGTCCTAATTGTTAAGCTCTTTCCACACACTAAGAACATGTCCAGGTTGATTTGTTATGCAAACATAATGTATCTCCTATGAAAACATAGAAATAAGCTAGCTATCATGTTCCCTTAGAAACACTTTTCTTTTTCAAGTTAAGTCTGAGAATTCTTGCATCCACTTTTTACATGGTGTAATTTCCAATCTCTTCAAGTTCCAGATTGGTTTTCCCATAGCTCTTGTTTTGCTCTGGAGTTCAATAAATTATAACCTCTCGCACTTGTATATTTCATTTCCCAGTGGAAATGTCTCCCAAAAAATGTATTTGGAAACAAAGTAAGGACTCATTTCCTTGTTTATTCAGATGCAAGAAGAGGCTCTAGAGTTTCATTTAATCATAGAGCAAAGAAGAGGGTTAATTGTTATGAGTCATATGGCTCTCTTCTCTTTTCTCTCTTTGTAGCATGTGTGTGTGTGTATGTGTGTGTTAAACAATCAAATAAGAATAAATAGGGTCTCATCAGTCATCATTATTTAAGGGATCCTTCTTTAGAAACTTTCTTAAAAATATCGAGGGGATTTTTTTTATTGTGGATATATATATATATATATATAACATAAGACTTGCCATTTTAACCATTTTTAAAATACAATTTCACAGAATTAACTTCATTCACAATGCTGTCCTAAGGAATTTTTAACTAGGAGTTTTATAAAGACAAAAATAAAAAGTAATTGTTGCTGACATTTATTGGAGCTCAGTTGTTATTCCTGATATCCCTTTTGGATTTTAAACAATTTGAGAAATGGACAAAGCAATTAAATAAGGATTTACAATCCAATGAGAACTTTTTTCTTTTCTTTTTTTTAAAAATAAAAAGTAGAGGCTAGATTGGTAAAGCATCTTATCAAGCCACCTGCTTTGACCCTTGAGGCAGCATAAGTGGCAGACTACATATCTACTATCAGGTAAGATAGCAGCTCTTAGAGAAACAATTTTAAAATACAACCTTATTATTTATGTATGTTAGTTATTATTAGCTGCATCTGAGGAGGTTTTACAAGAAAAAAATAAATTTAGGAGTAGTAAAAGTGAATAGAGGGCGTGCAGAAATTTGGGACTTCATAGGGTTGAAAAGCTGGCTTCTTGCATCCCCCAAACAATACGAACATGATTTAAAAGATAATGAGTTTAATAAAGTGACTCAGGGAAAAGATCAAATTAATGGTGCAATATTTCCACATCTTTTTCCTAAAAACATCATCAAAGCCACCAGTGCAGAGAAAGTAGTACAGGGTGACAGAAAATTATTTTTAGGAAAGGACATTCAGTGTAGTTACTGGTACATGAAATTAACTGTAAGCAAATTGATCAGATTCCTACAGATTTTTTATTAAACTAGATTGTTAAAGAATTGAGGCCAAACACCAAAAAGCCTCCTTTGACTATTTGAGACTTAAGCAATTTTCTTTTAGTTGATGGAATGACATTTAATTGTAGTGTATTTATTGCCTGATTGGGCTATTCTTTCATGTGTTCTCTCCACACTTCTAGCTTTACTGAGGTATAAATGGCAAATAAAATTGTATATATTCAAGGTATTCAAAGTGATGTGTTTGCATTTGAGATGATTACCACGATCAAGCTAATTGACATATTCATTACCTCAATTACTTTTTTTTGTGGTGAGTATACTTAGAGTATACTTTCTTAGCAAATTCCAAGTATGCATTATTATTAACTGATGAATACATGTGTGCATTTGAGATGATTACCACGATCAAGCTAATTGACATATTCATTACCTCAATTACTTTTTTTGTGGTGAGTATACTTAGAGTATACTTTCTTAGCAAATTCCAAGTATGCATTATTATTAACTATAATCATTGTGCTGTACATTAGCTCGCCAGAACTTATTCATTTTATAAATGCAAGTTTGTACCCATTGACCAACATCTTCCCTCTCTCCTCCCTACCCCCCAACTCTGGTAACCACCCTTCTACTCTGTAAAACAGCTAATTCTTGAACCTCCAGCCTTTCACAGCAGAAGACACACTTTGAAAGCAACTAAAAATGGAAAATCCACTTTAGGTATGACTGAAGAGAACCATGAACACAATATTTATTTACAATTAGTAAAACCAGGGAACTTTCCCAACTTCAAGTCTTCGTAATATCTGCTCAGTGCGATTTTAGAATTGCTACAGACAGTGATGGCTATTTCTAAATGGGAATGTTATCTTGGTTATCCTGTCATAATTTTATCACTGTATATTAGGTGAGTTTCAGGGGCAGATAACTTGTCCTTTCGGTTATATTTTCAAGAATAGGAGGAGTCATATTCTGATGTGGTGAACAGTCAGAATTCTGAATTTTGTCTTAGTTGACAAGAAAGTGACATTGTTCTATGCTTGGGAGGAAGTGTGAAATAGATGTATTTTAACTAGCAAGGTGGGATGTAGAGAGATTGGCTATATATTCATCAATATAGTTTTTCTCAGCTACCTTTACTATTACCTTAGGATCATGTGACTACCTATTAAATAAGGGAAGGTGGGGTAGAAGCCAAGGAATGCTAGCAGCTGCACTCAGATGCTGGAAAAAACGAGCACAGCTCTGTGAGTACCTTGATTTTGGCCCAGTGAAATTGATTTTGGACTTCTGGCCTCCAGAATTGTGAGATAATAAACTTCTGTTGTTTTAAGCAAACAACTTCGTGGTAATTTGTTGCAACAGCCAGAAGAATCTAATATAGCCACTGTGCTTAACTTCTGTTCATTTGGTCATCTTCTAACTTCCAATAAAGTTCAAACTCCACATATTTTTGGTATGCTTTCTCATTCTGCCTCTGATAGTTTCTAGCTATGTAATCTTTGGCAAATCATTTGTTTTCTCTGTAACTTAGTTCCCTAATCTTTAAAATGAGGACAGTAATAGTACTAACCTCATAATAATCATACTAGCCCTAATTATAAGGGCTTAATGAGTTAATATTTGTAAAGAGCTTAGAACAGCTACCAGCACTGACAAATGCTCTATAAGTTAATACTACACAAATTTTTTAGAGAGTAGATGAAATATTTTGGGGGTAATAAATGGGGAGAGAGCCATAGAATGCAGGTTTTCTTCCTTTCTGCCACCTTCTGTCCACTTGTATGTGAAAGAATTTGGAAAGAAAAGATTTTAAAAACCTATTTGTGTTGTATTTTTCAGACACTATTTTTAATAAAGGCACTTATTACTATCATATGTTTACATCTCTGATAACTTATTTACATATTTGTAAAGTAGTATAAATTTTGAATTGGGAAAAAAACACACCATCAACATTATTTTTGTATAAATTAAGTCCAATGAAAAACCATCACAAACCAATTAATGTGGTGAGACTGATAGTTTTAATATAAGAGAATGAAATAGTCTTTGAAAAAGAAAATTTTGTAGATTTCACTGATTTCTGCACCCATACCTAAAAAAGAAAAATAACATATTAGTTTTGTATAATAAAGTTACAAAATCACTTGTACTTAACATGAAATTATTTTTCTTGCTTTGTGATTTTAATGTTATTTTAAAGGACTATATTGAATGGTCATCTAAAAATCCATGCCACAAATAAAATACACTTTTAAGAGAATCAAGCTTGTTTAAGTCTGTCTTCTTATAGATATTGTAAATTATTATAATTATTCATTCTTACAAGAATTATGTATTCCTATAACAATTAATAATATAGTCTTATAACAATTCTTTTATCAATGTAGTGTTAATTCAAAGTTATGATTTATTTGCATGCATGTACATATTACATGGGATGTTTTTTGTGTGGGTATTGGTTTCAAATCACCACTGTCTGTTGATATTTAATGATTTGAACTAGAGTTCATTCTCTGCCTTTAATGGAGAGACTATTTCAGAGATGTAGCAGTTTTTTCCCTTTATCTATTATAAATAAAGGAATTAACACGGTAAAGTAAATACAAATGCCTACTGAAAATATAAAATTATTTAGTGTATGTAATATCTTAAACTATTTCACTAACCAAAGTTTTATCTTACATAGTAGTAAAATTACTAAAAACCAAAATATAGCAGTAGTCAGAGTTTAACTAAAAATTAAAACTTTTTAATTTCCTTGGCAATGGCTGCTGTTAAGAAGCATCACCAAGAATAATAACTGCCATCACAATTGATTTTCAATTCTACCTTAGTTACTATGTCACTTCAGTAGAAATTTTGATTTGGCTGACAGTCAAATAAAGCCTTGACATTTTTCTGTCCAGTAAATATTTATAACACTAAAATTGGAACAGCTTTGGGAAGGGATGGAGGAATGAGAACTTGAAACTAGGAATCCGATCAGATTTCTTGCTTATCTCCTGATCAGATGAGTAACATGGAATGAGTCCAACTGAGCTTTTTCACCAAAAATGTGTGTGTTGAGGAATGGAGTGGGGTGTGTGTGGGGAGGAGAGGGGGTAGCAGTTGGAGACTGGGAGATTTCAGGTCTAAATTGTTAGTTTATTTTCTAAAATATTGGTTTTCAATTTGCGGTAAGGATGGCTAAATGGATAGTACACAGAATGACCTGTGAGAAGTTTAACAATTTCTCTTCCCATCCATAGTTCGACCCCTTTCCCTCATATGGAATATTTTTTCCTTATACTGACCATTATTATTTTAGAATATTCAAGTCATAATCAATTTTGGTCAATTTAAGAAAGAACTTTCTAGTTCTCCAAAAGTAGCCCATGTTCCTTACATAGGACATGAGTTCATAATTTCAGAGGTTCTGGGTAACAGAAAACCAGCACTTCTCCATACCCCACTTTCTCATTTTCATGTATTAGAAATATACTCAAAGGTAGTTTCAGAGCATGTATTTAGTGTATTTAATCTGTGATTTCTAAATCTTGTGATTATGTAAATAGAGCTGTGATGAACATGGTAGTGCAGGTATCCCATCGATGTGATGATTTCCATTCCTTTGGATTCCCACTGGATTCCATTCCAGTAGTGAGATTGCTGGATTGTATGGTAGATCTATCTGTAGTTGCTTAAGAAACTCTATTTACAATAGTGAAATATGGAAAAAACTAAATATCTATCCACGGATGACTGAATGAGGAAAATGTGGTATATATATATACGCACACATAATGAAATACTACTCAACCATAAAAGAGAATGTAATTCTGCCATTTGCAACAACATGGATGAGCCTGGAGAAAATTATGTTAAGTGAAATAAGCCAGACACAGAAAGAGAAATAATGCATGTTCTCACTCATAAGTGGGTGCTAAGAAAGGAAGAAAAGACCACAATAATATACAGAACTTTCAGGAGGATAGAACAAATCTGTGGTTATTGGGGGGAGGGGGATTGGTGAGAGATTGAGTAAGGGACGCAAAGAATAATTATGATCTGTAATAATGAATATGCTAGTAATATCCATTTGATCATCACATGTACACAGGTGATGGCAGTCAAAAGAAAATAAAAGATGCATGGTGGGCTGATTAAAATAATCATAATCATAATCATAATCATAATGAAATAAACTATCAGAATATAGCTATGAAAAATTTATGTTTTGTTTGACAAGGAACATGAAAATTAATTCAATAGGTATTCATAACCAGTCTCAGATTATTTCAGATAAAATTTGAGATTGCTGAGAAATATTAATAATACAGGAAAACTGATTTTAAAAAATCTTTAAAGAGACACTTAAAAAGCACAAATATATAACTTCTTTAGAACAGAATGCTGTTTGATAGTGATTGATTTAATATAAACATTTTAAGTCTGAATTGTTTTGTCCTTATTAAAATATACGATTGTACACAAACATATTATCAAACAACATTCTATTGTGTGTATGTTTCTGCCAAATTTTAATAAATATTACCAGAATTTAAAATAAAATAAATGTCACGATCATGCATGACTTACAGAAACAAATGCACCATACTCTCTTCTCTAGGAAATTTCATTTCTTTACCTAAAAAAAGAAAAAAAGATCTCTTCATAGATGATAAAATGTACATCATTTCACAGTTTTGGGCCTATCTGTTCTAAATAATCTTTCTTCTTTAAGAAGTTGTGTCCTAATGATCTCTTAATGAATCATACTTAAAATATTCTATATTGCCACCAGATTTAGTTTTCTAAAACAGAGAAGTAGTGGTCAAATCACTCCTCTCATTGAAGATCCTTAATAAATTCTTTTGGCTACAGAATGAAGTTTCAGATACTTAGCAGTATTTTTGAGGCTTCTTTTAGCCTTACTTTCTAACATTGCCCTTCTGTCATGTGAACCATGAGCTGCAGGTACATACCAGTAGGTGGAAAGTGCTTGGGTCAAAGAAATCTACTGAATGAACATATTAATGTGTAGAGCATTGGAGAATAAGTGTAGTTGTTTATACTTGTCTGGAGCAGTACATATCTTCTAAGAAACAACAACTAGAAATACTGAATTAGTAAAAACATACTACATAAATTATTCGCTTATGGATTTAAACTTCCATTTGTTTTCAGCCTATTTCCCAGGGTTCAGAGTATCTTTCATGTAGTTTGGAATCCCATTTTCCCTGTGATAAAATAGCCTAATCCCTTGGGCCATATCTACCAAAACTTTAGGACCAAGTGCTTCTTAACTATTTTTTTTAAAATGATTGCTTTTTAAATGAAGTATAGAGAACTTTTCTTTAGGTCAAGATGAGTGACAGAAACTGGTTTTATTCTCTTGCCTAAGACACAAAAAATGTACAATAATATGAGAATAATCAGTTTTTTAAGATCTGAACATCAGGCTATGAAGGACAGTGGCAAAGTAGGTGGACCTTATGATTGTCCTAGTGTACCGCCTTCAGAGAGTTTCAAGGGGTTGGTGTAGGGAGAAAAACACAGGCAGATTCTGGTGCACCCTCTGAGTTAAGGAGATGGAGCTGGGAGTCTAGGAAGGCTAAGGTAGCTGAAATTCACAGAGCAGAGTTATCTGAGAGGAAAGAAGGATACAAATACATATGAAGATCTAAAGCATTTACCCTCACATTTTCAAATGAGTATTGACTTTTTGTATGAAAGCACTACCTAAGGCCAGGTAAAGAACATGAAAAGACAAAATGGAACAATATCTGATGTACAAACAGGGCAGGGGAAAGTTCTTGGTTCCACTAGCCAGAGTGAAAAAGCTAAAAACACACAGGGCATACGTTTGAGTACTCAGAATGATTGATCTCAATAATGGGAAACATTAGCCTTAGATAAAAATATTTGTCCCTTCTTAATAAAATGTAAAAAAAAAAAAAAAGCATAGCAACTTAATGTCCTCCCATAATAAAGCTTCTATCTATCTATCTATCTATCTATCTATCTATCTATCTATCTACCTATCTATCTATCTATATCTAATGTGTGGACATGTACATATCATGTATATATATGTGTGCATGTGTAGATATATGAGAAAACTTAATGTTTTCCTCTAATATCAGGAATAAGGCAGAGATGTCCATCTAATCATTTTTATTTAACATTGTGATAGATGATTAATACATAAATAAATAAATGGCATTCAGCTTGAAAGCTAAAAATGTCCATTAATGGATAAATGGGTAAAAATAATGGTATGCTCATGTAATAAAATAATACTCTGTAAAAAAATGAACTATTGTTATATTCAACTTCATGGATAGATTTCTAAAAGTGAATGAAACCAGACACTAAAGAGTACATACAGTGTGTTTCCACTCACATAAAATTCTAGAAAATGCAAATTAATCTGTAGTGACAAAAGACAGACCAGGGATGGGAGAAAAAGGAACGTGGGATGACAAAGGAATAGGAGGAAACTTTTGGCTCTGGTAGATATGTTTATTAGCCTGGTCATTCTTGTCATGGGTGTATACATATGTTGAAATTTATCAAAGTGTACTCTTCCAATACACTTAGTTTGCTGTATATCATTTGCATCTCAATAAAGCTGTTCAACATGTTTACATTGGTATATGTTTGCTTGTGGTGAGGTTGTGTTTCTTTTCTTCTCCGACAGATCTTATGCATTACAATGGTAATGTATAGGCAACCTACCTGGTCAGGAGAAGGCAGCTGAGGTTCTGGGGCAGCAGGCTCAAATGAAGGAAATCTGGCTGTAGCAGGGTCAGCTCCAGGAGGTTCAACTGAAGCAGAATTGGCTGAAGAAAACTCAGCTGCAAGGGGCTCAGCTACAAAGGGCTCAGATGGAAAAGTTTTGGCTGCAGCAAGCCCAGCTGCTGCAGGTTCAGCTGAACCAAATTTGTCTAGAGCAAGCTCAGTTACAAAAGACTCAGCTAGAGTTTTGGCTGAAGCATGCTCAGCTGCAGCTGGCTCGGTCAATGAAGGTGTGGTTGCAGCATGCTCAGCTGCAGCAAGCTCAGCTGCAGCGAGGTCAGCTGGAGAAGTTTTGGTTACAGTATGCTTAGCTTCGCCATGCTCAATTGGCAAATGTTTGGCTTCAGCATGTTCAGCTGCAGCAAGCTTAGCTGCAGTGAGCTCAGCTGGAGATTTGGCTGCAGCAGGCTCAGGTAGTGAAGGTGGGGCTGCAGCATGCTGAGCTGCAGCAAGTTCAGCTGCAGCAAGCTCGGCTGGAGAAGGCTTGGTGGCAGCAGGCTCATGTGCAGCAGGCTCTGCTATAGCAGATGTAGCTACAACAGGCTTAGCTGCAATAGGTGGGGCAGTGGGTGCTGCAGGAACACTTGAAGGAAAGACAAGGTGGGAAGCACCAGGAGGAGGAGGGGGACGAGGACGAGGAGGATGAGGACGAGGAGGAGGAGCAGGAGAAGCAGTGGTCAACTGAGTAGTTAAGGGAAAATCAGGGATATGGTACGTATGGGCATTTCCAGAAGATTTAAAAACCCAGGGATATGGAGGTACACCTGTATCAGTGTCAGGATTCCCAGGGTAATTGGGGTTGGTATTCACTGAGGGATAGTAAAGAGGAGGCGGCAAATTATAATTCTGTAAACCATTAGGAATAGGCAGAGATGGATTAAGTGGGTAACGATAGTCATTGTCATCCTAAAGAAGAAGCAAAGAAGTCAATTTAAGTTGATTGTTTATATTTGTCCTTTCTCATATATTATCGATGTTCTAACTGTGATAATACATAGTAAGTAATGATTTTTTAAAAAGAATTCTAATTAGTCTCTTAAAAGGTTAATGTGTGTTTATAATTTTTGACATAGGAAGTAATAATTTCTTAAGAAAATTGAATAAACTCCAAGTGAGGGAGAAATATTTTGTGTTTATAAATGAGTGTTATAGACTGTAGAATATACCAGCCTAGGTCATAACAAAAATAGATGGAAAGTGTGTGCACTTTATAGGATTGGTGAGGACTGTAAGATTGGTGCTTCCAGGCCACTTTCTCTGCACTCTTTGTGGCCCTGCCCACTGCCCTCAGTGCCCTCTAGGTCTCTAATGTGTCCTGTTGAAGCCTTTACTTTGCTACACCTCCCCCAGGTGTCTCACGTTCCAGATTTGTCCTTATGAACTCCTTCCCACCCTTCACCAAAGCTTCCATTCCTTCATAGTCATGCACCTGTATTGTGAGTTAGAGGGTAAGCAGACTGGGTGTGGATGGCTATTGGCTTTTCATATTTAATTTTCTGTGTGATGTTCATGTTTTAAGTGAGTAGGTTATTAACCTTAATCATGAGTTTATTATCAGATTTCAAATGATTTCTTTTGCTAGGACCTCTGTATTTTCCTCTGATTGCTCTAGGTTTGTCGTTTACATCCACGTAAGACTGTTAGGGAGCTCCAAGGGCAAAAAATTATGTAAGAATTTACAGAAAATTATGACATTTCTTGGTTTCACATACATGAAGTTTTATTTCCTGTTATAAATTTGTCAGTTTTCCCAAGGAGCTGACTTATGGTTTACATTCTGGGATCCTGAATTCTTTTATCTGTTGTGTATACGGATCAATTATAGTTAAAATTTTTTTTTGATTTTTAGTAACATAAATATTTTAAAAGATGATAAACTATGTTTAACATTTATTATATGTTTATGTTAGTGTTAATCAGGTGGAGTTATTTTCTTTACATGTGTTCTAAGTTAATTTGCCAATAACAGACACTACTTATGAACATAAACCCAATTTTTATATTTGTTGGAAAGTATTGCCTTCTTTATCAATAATACTTTTCTATGATGTAAAACTTTATATAATTAAATTTTATTTTAAAGGGTTTAACCTAATAAGCAGGCAGTGAAGCTAGGCAGTATATCAATAGGAATAAAAATTATAAAATTTATATAAATATGCTTATTCTTATATTTGTGTATTTAAATAAGCCCATCAAAGGAAGAGAAGCTTTCATGTTCCTAAATTACTTCCTTAGCGTTTCAAGGAAAAACATAATAATATTAAATTTTTTAACATTAGACAGAAAATGCTGTTTTAAGGAAAAAGTGAATAATGTAAAATACATTTCCGTATCTTAAAATATAAATAAATATGAATACGTTTTACCTTTTCACTGGATGAGGGAAATTTCTAAAACACAAAGAAAATAATGTTGGTGTTAAATTTTATACCACTGAAAAACATCTTTCTTTATATCTCTACATTCAGAGTGACTATAACTGACAAAACTCTGAGGAACTTGGAATTTTCCTTCTTAAGTCATATAATTTTTTGCCTTGTTCTCAGTTTTCTGGTGATTATGTATATTCTGGTATCATAAAATACATTCTTACAAAGTGTATATACAATGATCAATTATAATGTCTTCCCAGTTCCAGTGTTTTTACACTGTCATTTACATTTTTTATTCTTATGTATCTATAAACTTTTAGGTACAGGGAACCAAATGTTCTGATTTAATTTTGGTCTAGCTGCTTAATTACACAAGATATTCACATTAGATCATCATTTGTGTTTACCACAAAATCATCAATATAACTTCACAATAAATGTGGATTGTAAAAGTAATGTAGATTAGAAATGTAATGGAAATTCTATAATTTATTTTTAAAAGTATAAAGTGAGTCCAGCTCTGTGCAGTCCCTGTGCAAAGTATTGGGATTCTAGATATTGGAAAATCAGACGAAGTTTCTTTGCTCACACTTCTGGGATGCTACATTCTCCAGGCAGTCAACATTCCCACCTAAAATGTAATATTTCTTACCAATTTTAGGTTGGTTTGCTGAACTACTGAGTTAAAATTTTTTCCATGGATCATACTGCTAGAATCCCCTAAAGTATAACATATGATAAATGAGTGATATAAGTTTCAGGGTGTTCACAGAGGCAAATGTCAGTTATTTGTATTGTGGGTCATATAAATGATTAATACAAGTGAATTATTAGTACTAATATTTTAACAGCAACACCGTCATTAAACTGCATTGTAAAGAAATCACATCAACAAAAACAAGGACAAAAACAATACAATTATCTCAATAGAGATAGAAAAAGCTTTTGACAAAATTCAGGATCCCTTTATGATAAAGACACTCAACAAATTAGTTATACAAGGAAAGTATCACAACTAAGTAACACAATAAAAAACATATATGACAAATCCATTGCCAACATCACCCTGAATCAGGAAAAGCTGAAAACTTTTCCTTTAAGGATAGGAACAAGACAAGGATGCCCACTCTCACCACTCCTATTCAACATAGTGTTGGAAGTATTAGCCAGAGCATCAGGCAAAAGAGAGAAATAAAGGGCATCCAAATTGGAAAAGATGAAATCAAATTGTCCCTGTTTGCAGAAGACATAATCCTATATACAGAAAAAACCATAACCTCTACCAAAAAACTCATAGAGCTTATAAATGAATTCAGTAAAGTTGCAGGATACAAAATCAGTACACAAAAATCAGTAGCATTCTTATACACCAACAATAACAAGCAGAAAAAAATCAAGAAAGCAAGCCCGTTTGCAATAGCTACCAAAAGAATAAAATACCTAGGAATAAATTTAACCAAAGAGGTGAAAGATCTTTACAATAAGAACTACAAAACACTGCTGAGAGAAATTAGAGAGTACCCAAAAGAGATGAAAAGACATCCATGTTCATGGATTGGAAAAATTATCATTGTGAAAATGCCTGTATTACCCAAAGTGATCTACAAATTCAATGCAACCCCCATCAAAATACCTATGACATTCTTCACAGAAATAGAAAATTCATCTGGAACAACAAAAGACTCTGAATAATCAAAGCAATCCTGAACAACAACAAAAAAGAGGCTGGAGGGATTACACTATACTGCAAAGCTAAAGTAACCAAAACAGCATGTTGCTGGTGTAAAACAGACACATGGACCAATGAAATAGAATAGAGAACCCAGATCAATCCATGTACTTACAGCCAACTGATCTTTGACAAAGGCACCTAACAACATACACTGGGGAAAGGACAGATTCTTCAGTAAATGGTGCTGGGAAATTGGATATCTATGTATAGAAGAACGAAACTAGACTCATGTATCTCACCATATACCAAAGTCAACTCAAAGTGGACTTAATACTTAAGTATAAGATCTGAAAATATGAAACTCCTAGGAGGAAGCATAGGGGGAACACTTCAGGAAGTAGGACTGGGCAAAGACTTTATGAATAAGACCCCAAACACACAAACAACAAAAGAAAAATTAAACAAATGGAATTATATTGCAATAAGAAGCTTCTTCACAGCAGAGGAAATAATCAACAATAATGAAAAGACAACGTACAGAATGTGAGGAAATATTTGCCAACTATGCATCTGACAAGGGATTAACATCCAGAATACACAGGAACTCAAATAACTTAACATTTAAAAAAATTAATCCTATGAAAAAATGGACAAAGGAGCTGAATCAACAGTTCTCAAATGAAGACATACAAATGGCCAACAGGTACATAAAAAAAAAATGCTCAACATCACTAATTGTCAGAAATATGCAAATCAAAACCACATTGATATACCATCTCACCCCAATTAGACTGGCTATTATCAAAAAGAGAGAACAACAAATGCAGAGAAACTCTCTTATACTGTTGGGGGGACTGTAAATTAGTCCAGCCATTATGGAAAGCAATATGGAGATTTTCTTAAACAACTACAGTTAGAACTACCATGTGAACCAGCAATCCCACTTCTGGGTATATATATACCCAAAGGAATGGATATCATCATGTCAAAGGGATACCTACACTCCTATGTTCATCACAGTTCTATTTACAATAGCCAATATATGGAACAACTTAAATGCCCATCAGTGGATGACTGGATAAGGCAAATGTGGTACAAATGCACAATGGAATACTACTCAGCCATAAAAAGATGAAATTCTGCCATTTGCTGCAACATAGATAAGCTTAGAGAAAATTATGTTAAGTGAAATAAGCCAGGCATAGAAGGAGAAATATTGCATGTCCTCACTCTAAAGGGGGAGCAAAGAAGGAAAGGAAAGGAAAAGTAAGGAAAGGAGAGGAAAGAGAAAAGGAAAGAAAGGAAAAGAAAAAGGAAAGGAAAGGACAATCATGATAATGTGTTGAACTTACAGAAGGAGAGAAAAAATCTGTGGTCACTACAGGTGGGAAAAGGGGAGAGAGTGAGGGTTAGGGAGAAATTGGATAATGGGCACAAAGAATAATTATGATTTGTAATAAAGAACATGTTAACAACACTGATTCGATCATCATATACTGAGCACAAATACTGATAGTCAACTCTGTATCCCATAAATATGTATAATTGTTTCAATTAAAAATAAAAGAAAAATGAAGAAAAAAATTAGAGTTTTTAAATGTAAGATACACTTTAAGGTAAAAACAAATACATTTATACATAAATGAATAAAAAAAATAAGTTTTACCTCACCAACCAAGGGGAAACGCTTCTACAACAAAGAAAGATTTTGACATGATTATTAAAGAGCCCTGGAATCTGATTATTGAAATATTAGCTCATAAGAAATTCAAATTAATATCACAATCTTTCCAGTTTTAAAAATTATTTTCAAAAAGATTCCTATTCCTTTGCCATATATTTTAAGAGTTGTTGGTCAAAAGTGTGCATATTCCAGACCATATCTCTTGGACCTTCCTTGCTAGATTGTCATGTTTATCCACTACACACTTGTGGATAGGTGCAAGTATAATTTTCTTAGCACAGTCCTGTCATCAGAATTTGATTAATAAATGACAAAGAACTGAAAAATCTAACATCAGTTAATTGATAAATGTTTTGGTCTCCTGTGTGGGGGTAATTAATAGATATTTGGTACATCAAAATATTCTAACTCACTGGGACACACCCCTCCTGCTAGGAATTCCCAGCTTCAAGACACATGCCTGAATACACCCACTACTGCATGGTGTATTCTGCTGTAATCCTTCATGGGGGTGAAACCTCCCTGGATTCATCACTTAGTTTGTTGAAATAAACTGACTATATTGTTCTAAAATATTATAGATTTTCCCATTAGGGGAAAATCTAGGTATAGCAAAAATTTAATTACACTACAAAGTAAGTGCACTTATTTAATGTTTCTGCTCATTGAAAAGTAATGAAGAACTTATAGTAAATATGTTTAGCCCAAATATATTTATATCCCATAAATATTTTTCATCAAACCAGAAGCAATTAATAACACTAATATTTTAACAGCAGTAGCAGTCTTTAAATTGCAATGTAAAGAGATCAGAGTTTTTAAATATAAAGTACACTTTAAAGTAAAAAAATATATACATTTACATGTAAATAAAAAATATTTTACCTCACGAGGGAAGGGAAACCGCTTCTAAAACAAAAGGAAAAAATATTTTAATGTGGTTAAATATTTGAAAGCATCTGTACTCAGATTTCCCTACTACTGAAGAATTAGCAGTCTTTATTATTGTTGATTTCTTATTGAAATGAGTAACCAGTATAAATTATTTGTTTATCATCATCATCATCACTATATTTTTGACTTAGACAATTATCTCAGGAAGTTTTACTTTGGCTGGATGGATTTTGGTTTGTAATATTCTACAGTACATAAATCTTTGCCATCTGAAAGATCATTCAGCTCTTATTCGTATATGTGGTTTTGCTGTTCTCTTCTCCCTCCCAGGTTTTGTCTGCTCTCTGTGTGTGTGTGTGTGTGTGTGTGTGTGTGTGTGTGTGTGTGTGTGTGTGAACTGTCTGTTGCCACCTCTTCATAGTATCAGAAGGACCATATGTCCACTTGCTTGTCGATGAAGCTTTAGTATGTTTTATGAATTCAGCATAGATAATGCTCTACAGAATAAGAATAAAAAATAGTGTTGGAAACTCATCATTTACTATTTTAAGAATTAGAGTTTAATTCAGGTAATTTTAGGGGATAGAATAATAATTTGAAATTTGGACATGATAGTAATTATGATAACAATAACTAATAATATCAAGGAACATTTAAGTTTCTACTATATCTTAGGTACTCTGCTAAGCACTTTATATGTTTTTAATCTTCAAAACAATCCTGTGGGGTATATGTTATTGTTTTTTCAATTTTTAAAAAGCAGATATTTAGCACACTCACTGGCTAGGATAGAGAATTTGCCATCTGGTATTTCTTAGTGTACTGTCTCATCTGTCTACACAACACTGAAGGTCGTTATGGCCTGTCAAGAATTCCTTCTGACTCTCCATTAAATACCTCTAGCAAAGGGACTTCACTGCCAGAGGAAGCCCTATTCAGCATTCTGTAATTTGAAGATATAAACTCTGTTAAGATAATTTACATGCGGTTCTAGTTCCTTATAATTTTTTCCTCCTCCAGCCCCCTACATTTCTGAACTCACCTCTTTTCCTTGCTGTTTATCCTTTTTTAGATATTGCAGATTTATCACTTTGATTTTTAAAATTTCCTTTGGAAAGTTTGACATACCAAATATCATGTTCATCAACATTTCTCTCTGCTGCATTATTTTAAACATTGTGATAACTATATCATTAGCAGGAATCCCTGCCAACAATTATTTAATGGTTATACTACTGCTACAATTTTAAAAGTCCACTTACTCACCTTCCTTGCAAAAGCAACACACATGATGCAGGCCCAAAGAAGCAGCTTCATTTTGATGGACCCTATGTACATTAATACAATAAATTGGTTATTTCAGAAAAATATACAATATATTTTTAAAATTATTCTCTTTTCCTAGAGAGAAACAAAAGAATTATTAGGCTTTATTAGTCTGGCTAGGAAGACCCTTAACAGAAAATTTGGTCCTGCTATTTAACTGTTGTCTATATGACCTAACAGAAATGACACCAAAGCCAAAATTATTTTTTTTTGGCAGATATCCTTTAACAATTACTTGATGTTTAGCTAAACTCTCTTTAAGTGGAAGTCACCTCATTTGGTTACCCTTGGTCACATTTTGCAATTAATTTGTGTCGGAATGCTTACCAGGAAATAAAACTGCTTAAAAGTAGCCATTCTATGGGTGCCTTATTGAGATTTTGTTTTTATCGATTCAGTGGGTGATTGGTGTCACCTACATGGAAAGATTTCCAGTCCTAAACTTTTTGCTACTATACCCTGTAGCATAAAACTTTAGGTCCTTGTCACCAATTTTTTTTCTCTGTCTCTGAATAGTAGTGGGGCAGCCATATATTCAGGCATATGTCTTGATTAAGCTCAGTTTTCTTCATAAAACGTAAAACCAATCTCTAATTAGTTGATTAATAAAGTTTGTGACTTCATTCTTCAAAAACATAAAACATTTCTACTGTTACAAAATATGTATATATGAGGACACTTATTACAGCACTATTTAAAATCTCATAATGTAAAAATGAATGCCCAAGAGGTATTTTATTATGAATAATTTCAGATTCATGATTAATTGCTAAATGAATATTTAAATGCTAAATATTACTGAAGTATTTATTTCTAATAAGATGATGATTGTTTTTATAATTAATTTTGAATTTTTTTTCATTTTCTATAGTCTACATTTTTTTGTCAAGTGAGAATATATTACTTGTATGCTAAGTGTATCCTAAGAATATGATGGATTTTCAAGTTTTTTTTGATGAGACTCTAAATGCTTTTCTGCATAATCCTTAACAAAATCTCACCTGGAGAAATCACAATTATGGAGGAAGTTTTGGAAGTAATAAACTGCATCCATTTCTCAAAACATATTTTTCGTCTTAATTAAGCTGCTTACATACATGTTCAACATGATTTTGATTGCATATTGAATGGCTTTTGCTATAGTGTCCTTTGGTACTATCTATACGCCAGGATTTTATTGAAAGATGATTTAAGAAAAAGACTAACAGGTGTTCTATTTTCACATTGTAAAAATATATGGGACAAAGATTTGTGCCTCATTCTGTTTCCATATGAGTAGCACTGGAGAAACTCCTGACAGATCCCAGTACCTAGGCTTTTCCTGACCTGTTGGTATATTTTAATTTCTTAGAGACATTGTTATTATATGTTTGTTGGTTTTGCATTTATTTGTGCTCTTTTCCTACCAGAAATTTCAGAATAGAGTATTTCACCCATATTTAGTCCTCTGCAGGGCACTATGACATCTCATTTAAGGATGTTTACTGAATTTCTGGCTTTATCTTACTTGCTTTCACCTTATTTTTCCACCTCACCAAATTATTCACATCAATTTTTTAAAAATCCTGTTTTGCCAATTTTTGTAAGCAACCTCAAATCATTTTAGAATGCATCATATTACAAGCAAACAGAAAAAGGAACAAATTAACCAATTAAATTGATCTCTCTAAAATTGTTTATAGTGCCAAAATTTCCCTGTGGTGTATTTTAAATGTCTGTTTTAAAAAATAAAAATGGCCAATTAATAAAACCAAAATATTGTGAATTATACCTAAAGAAGGCAATATTTTATCCCTCAATATAATGTAATTATTTTAAAAGTAGCCTAGAGCTTATTACAGAACACTTATGACCTAAAGATTAACCATATAAAGTTAACTTATGAATTGATCTTTTTTTTTTTTCTTTGGTCCTTTTTTGAGACCGGCCGTACTGCGCTCAGCCAGTGAGTGCTGTGAGCGCACTGGTCATCCCTATATAGGATCCGAACCCGCGGTGGGAGCGCTGCTGCGCTCCCAGCGCCGCACTCTCCCGAGTGCACCACGGGCTTGGCCCATGCAATGATCTTTTATCCCTATCTGGGTTTCTTAAACAAGAGGATTTAATTGGTTGAAGCCAAATTTTCACAGACATATTATATGGCAGTTGTCTGAATAATTTAGAATGCTGCTCTTACCCCACTATTCTTTTGGGAACCTATCAATCTGATCATATACAATAGCCCCAAACTATAAATATAGGTAAAAGAACCTACTTGAGAAATTGCACAGTCACCTTTTAAAAATGTCCTTTTAAAGTAATTCTGTATAAATAGCTCAAACAATACCAATTAAAATTAGTCTTATAATCCAATAAACATATTTTCACTTAAATTTGACTTTATCTTGATATGACAACTATTTAATCAAGCTCTAATGAATTAGAAACTCCAGTAAAGATGAATAACTATTTCTTCTTCATAAGAAATATAAAACAGTGTTTATTCCTATCAGAATAATTAACACTAATGAAGAATAATAGAATTATAATTTTAGAATCCTTAAAAATCACCTCAGAAATGAAAAAATCTCAGATTATTGAACATTTAAAATATTTTCTCTAGTATCTCACAGTATCAATTTATTGATTTACCCACATATTACTTTTGATTTAATACTTTAGAATGCTCCAGAAGGAACAAAATATTTATCTCCCACTCAAATAATAAAATTTTTTCTTCCCCTTTTTCTCAGTTAACTTGTTAAGTGAGAGGGGCTCACTTTACCCTATAGTTCAGTTCTTCAGAAGAACGTGAGACTTCCTGAATAGAACTGACCTTTCTTCTAGGGCTTATGTGAAATACTGAGTTCAGTAATAACCTACAGAAAAAAAAAATTCCTTTGATAAGTCTCCTCCCACGCAGTATTGAAGTGAAAATTTAGGTGTGTGGTGGATTAGATTAGATTTACACAACACCCTGTGTTACCAATATTTACCTCATTATCGGCTGCCTATAACATACCTGGCATTCAATAAAAAATTACAAAACCTACAGAAAGGCAAGATAAAATGTCTGAAGATTAAAAGAAAAGCACACATCAGAACCACAGCTGTTACACAGATGTTGGGACTCTCAAATTGGGAATTTAAAATAACTTTGATTAATATATTGAAGATTCTGAAGGTAAAGGTAGACAAGATGCACCATCCCAGAGGTATTTCATCACAGAGATGAAAACTGTAGGAAAGAATCAAATGGCAATGCTAGAAATAAAAAAAAATCACTAACAGAGGAAAGGAATGAATTTAATTGACTCATCAGTAGACTCCACATAGCCTGGGAATCAGAGAACCTGAAGATATGTCATAGAAATGACCAAATTGAAACACAAATTGAAAAACAGCAAATGTTCGAACATGTGTGTTATTATAATCCTAGGAGAAAAAAAAGATAGCAGCAGAAATATTTAAAATATATAGCCAAGAACTTTCCAAAGTCATAAAAGCATAGATACATGACACTCAGAACACCAAGAAGGATAAATCTGTGCATGCACACACACATGCACACACACACACACACACACACACAGCATAGCTTATTAAAACTGCTGGGAATGAAAGACAAAAAGTGAAAGTCATGAAGACAGCAAAAGAAGAGAAAAAGGCAGATTGCCTTAAAAAATAACTATAAGCATACAACAAAGTTCTTGTCAGAAACAACATAAGCCAGAAGAATAAAGGAGAGACCTCGTAAAAGTGATGAAGAATATGGTCAACCTAAAATTTTATGTCCAGGAAAAATTGCCTTCAAAAGTGAAGGGAAAATACTTTTCAAACAAAAACTGTCGGAATAATTAAGTAAGAAAAAAATGATTTGGACAACGCTGTCAACCAACTTGATGTAATTGACATTCATAGAACACTCCACTGAACAACATCAGAATATGCAGTCTTCGCAAGGTCACATGAAACATACCCCAGAGAAACCACATTTAGTGCCATATAACAACCATAAACACATTTAAAAGAATAGGAATAGTAAAAAGTATGTTGTCAGTCCAATATAATTAACTTAGATATCAATAACAGAAAAATATCTAAAAAATATCAAATATTAGGAAATTAAGCATCACATTTTGAAATAACCTATAGATCAAAGAGGATGTCTCAAGGTAAATTAGCAAATATTCTTCCTTTTTTTTATATAGGTTCTGATCATTGTTACTTTTGCCCCAATGAATATCATTAAAAAACAGAATACAGAGGACATTTTAAAATATCAAAAGAGCTATTAGCTTTGAACCAGAAGAAGGTCATGTATCCTTTGAGACTTGAAGGAGAGAGTTAATGTTATGTTCAGATTTAGATCAAGTTATTGATGTGTCATACCAGGAGGTGGATAGTTTTTATGCTGGATGGACTCAGTATTGTCTATGAAGTAGAAAGGAAAATTGTTTTCTGGTGAGAAAAATTTGAAGCTTAAGGAGAGTTATAGAAGGCAGCTAACTCTAAGGTCAACAAGAAAAAGTTTGATAACACATCTTTGGTAACCAAGAAAGTTTAGAAAACAAACTTACTTTAAGATTCAGCTGCTTAGTTGGAGTGGAAGCAGAAATCAAATTCAGAGTTGTATATGGTTGGGTGTTTTCCAGGTAAGGTTGGTTAAACGTCGAGGGGCAGAGGAATTATGTGGACTATCAAGATAATATTTAAAATAATCAAGGATCTAGGCTGAGCTGTGTAAGAAGGGATGTGAAGCCAACAGAGAATAGAGAGAATGGAATGTAATCAGTGTTAAGGGCGGAAGATTCTATGATGACAAAGGAAAATTCTCTAAGCTTCTACCTGTTACACCTTTTAAAAATACATGTCATATGTAACCACTTTCTGAAAAAACCCTTCAATATTCAGGCTGAATAAGAAAGTGAGGCTAAGACGGATTGGATAGAATGAAATGTAGTGGAAGGGATAAAGGACTGATGCATTCCACGGAGTCAAAGATGAAATAC